GCATTTTCCTGTTTTCCGTGCATTGTTAGGATGGTACTATATAATTCTTTATTAGAAATGTCTAAAAATTGGCATGGCAATGAAAAGGGGCTTTTGCATGGTGTTATTCCTAATTATGGAGCCACTTTTCTGTAATCACCTAGAAATCTGTTCCTTAGCTTGCTTTTGATTTCAAGGCAGCCATTTGGGGTTGAAAATGAGCTCCGAGAGTAATGCTCCTGTACATTAACAGTATAATGAAATAAGTACTACTTCAAGGGTGATTTTCAAATATTCCTATAGAATTATGCCATTTCCATAATGGAAAGAGAAACTGTGTCTCGGCCTGCTCTTAGGACACCAAAGGCATCCACTTACATATCTTTTTCTTTCCTCTATTAAATATTTAGCAAAGGAGAATCATAGGCTTGGATTATGTGTGCTGTTCCCTGGATCAGAACACAATTTCCTCATTGCGCCTGTGTGCATGCATTGTAACAATGTGTGTGGGGGTTGTGGTAGGTTGGGGAACAGAACTGCACTATCAGAGTCTGGGACAGTAGCAATTGAGATGGTTTGGCAAGTTACTTAAGTGGAATATATGGGTGGCAAAATGAACAATATATGGATGGCAAACAAACAAACAAAAACACAGGACATCTTGCCTTTTATTACATAAGAGCATGGTTTAATAGGAACAAGAGCATGGAAGGCAGCCAGCCTGCAATTCAAATCCTGTTCTCTTGCCACTTGCTGGGTGACCTTGGGCGAGTAGCTCTGTTGCTCTGAGCTTTGTTTTCTTCCTCTTTAAAATGAAGATGTGTAAGTTGCAAGTCCCCTATGAAAATGCTTCTAGATAAAATATATTCATTGAGTTTTACATGGTGGATGCTTAATAAATGGTAACTATCATGACCATGTCTAAGCCCCTATTCCTACCTTTTCCTGGTGTTTGGATAGAATTCTTGCCCAAAGAGGAAATGCCTTAGTGGCTTTAACACGTCTACATGTGTTGCTTTTGTATCTGTACCTCTCTCTTCTCTCATCTCAGACCTTAGGAACCACTTGAGCAATAGAATACATTCATGTTTATAGAGGTCACCCAGGATAATTATTGAATATGGCTGCAGTGTTTTATAAAGTCCTAGAGACTGCCAGTAGCATCCTACAAATATCCCCATTTAGAGTGGTATTACTGGAACCTCCTGGAGGGAGAGGTTACTAATGGGCAGAAGTGTTACTATGTTTTTTCCCACCTTTGGGCTTTCTAGAATCTACACCCACAGACCTGGAGATCTCTTTCAAATATCTTTGGGCTCATAAAGGGAGAAAACAGAAACATGATAATGCTTCCCATGGCAATTTAAGGGATTGTATGCCTTGCCCACCCCACCCCCCCATATAACCCCAACTTCTGGCTGAAACTCAATCCCTTATCCATATTTAAAAAGAAGACAACTACTAATACTTAGTAAGAAAAGAGAGGAGTCTGAAACTTTGGTGAAGAAATATAAGGCACTTTACCTGAACAAATTTCAAATGGATCCGTTTAAAATGAAATTAAGTGGCACTTCACTGGTTTGCAAATCGGGACCTATTTATCTCAGTAAAATGATTAAAGTCTTGATTTATCCCTAAAATAGCCTTTATTATTACCTTTAGTTATACCAGAAGGTTGTTAAAGACTTGTAGGTTCTCTCTATCCCTTTAAACTGAACGTTATACAGACAATAATTGAATATTGGATAGAATAACTTGATTTTCCAAAGAAATATGTTTCTAATATTTTCCTCTTTTTATTGCAGAAATTGAAACAAGTTGAAGAAACAAAAGAAGATTCTGAGAATAGATTATCTAAAATTTCCCTGGAGTCATTCAATAAATATAACAGCAAAACTATGATTTTGTTAGAAAGAGAGAAGAACTCTCTAAACACGGTTGAAAGACAAAAGGAAGAAAAAGAAAAAACTGAAGAGGCATCTTTGAGTAGCTCAGATAGGCCTGGGGTAGACAATTTGGAATCCCTGAGTGATTCTTTATATGATAGCTTCTCTTCCTGTGCAAGTCAGGGTTCAAATGATGTATAAAGGACCGTTTTTGTTGTTGTTGTTGTTGTTGTTGTTGTTGTTTTTTCTTAGCTGAAAATGGAGCACTTAAGAAACAGTTGTGTGGAGGGGAACAGAGATGGCAACAATAAACCATGGCAACAACGGAGCCTCCATTGTCAGATTCATAACAAGTAACCCACTGGAGCTTCCTTTTCTGACAGGGCAATAGACTCCATTTGTTGTGTTTCACCAAGATTAGATGTAAACACACCCACAATGCAGAAGTCTTAATTTTGCACTTTTTTTGAATACTTGTACAGAAGTTGTAAATTTTTGGAAAAGAAATTATATTTGTAGCAAAAAAAAAAAAAAAAAAAAAAAAAAAAAAAAAAAAGACAGCAATAAATTGAATCAGTGCCATGCTCTTGAAATGATGTACTAAGTGTTAGAAGTTGATAATATATTTTTCAAAATTTCCAGCTAAAGTGTTTTGTTGACTTCACTGTCCTAGTCCTCAAATTGTTTGTGGGTACACTCTGTAAAGCTAAAACAGGGCCTGCCAAAAACCAGAGGGCTCACTGTCCTCTCCAACTCACAATCTCAATGTGATATAAACTTTAATTCTAATGCAATTTCAAAATTGTTACCAGGGAGATTCAGGTTCTAGGAGTGAGTGTAATTCTGCTTCCACTGAAAAATGTAACAGGTACTCAAGTGTGACACTGATGGGAAAGGATGTGGATCAGAAGTGACCTAATTCTATGTTCAACCACAGGTTTTCCCTCCAAACATTTTCTTACAACCTCTTCTGCTTAGTGCTTCTCTATGATTCTCAACAGTATTTGATTTTTTATCTTCCTGCTCTTTTTATTAAAATCTGGGGAAACTAGAAATGAAAGCAAATTCCTATCTGTCATGTTCACTTTTTTAAAAATAAAATGAATTGCTGGTGCTACAAAAAATTCTTACTTTTTAAGATCTTTTTTTTTTTCCCTACAAAGTCTGTGTATATGTGAGGATAAATTCTATTTTAAAGGTTATTTGTATTTTTTCTAGATGTGAACTATTTATAATTGCTTTTGTACAGGAGTTTGTAAAGTAGGCCTAATAGAAATATTTTTAGGATCTATATGGTTACTTCAGCACACGTTTGTATGTTTAAAAAGTGTTGTATAAACAGTGTTATTTGGTTAATTTGTGCAATTTGTTATATTGAATTTTGTTGTCCTAAATGAAAATTATGTAAAGTATCATTGTCTTTCAGACTTTGAAAAAATTCTTTTGTTTCATTTCTGAATAAAAGTTCTATCACAGTTGGCACCCTCTGAAATCTGCAAAGAACTTGTTCAAGGATCCTTCGGCCCAGTTGTTTGCTCTCACACGTGCTCCAGACAATCAATTTCCGGAAGAAATAAATAAACTGGCCCCCTTTGCTCCCGAGATAGTAATTCAGCCAATTATAAGATCAGAGTCTGCAGACAAGGGTGTAATGGTCAGAGCGTTCAGTCTCCCCGAGGGGTTAACCAACTAGAAATGAAAAGAAGAGGGGGGCAAAGGGAGAGAAGGAGCCTGAGGCAGATATGGAACGATCTCTGCAGAGGAATTACAAGAAAGTCATTTAAGCCCATTTCCAGACCTGCTCTGCTGGCAGGATGGGAAAATAAATAATCAGCGTCCTGGCCTGAGAGAGCTTCCTCGCGGGGAAGGGAAGGGCAGGCGGTGAAGAGGAGCTAAGCTTCTGAAGCGATTTCCACAGAAATGGGTTCTCCCCAGGGATTCAGGGGGAAGGGTGGCAACGTGCGGGGTTGGGGGCGGGGGCGCCGAGGCTCCCACACCACCTGCTGCAAGGCTCCGCTCCAAGGAAGACGAACTCAGCCCCGTGGCGTCCCGGGAGTATTCAAGGTGGGTCGCTTGACTGAGAGAGGGGGAATGGGACGGGGTCTTAAAACAGAGGCGCAGGGCAGCCTGCGACTGACTCCTGGGCTGGGAAAGCGTGATGCAGGAGAGGACCTGGGAGGACGTACTAATAACCCGTGACTTTGAGAAAAGCTGGATGAAGATGCCCGGCCTTTGGGAGGAAAAGAGAGCAAAGATATTCCCTTCTTCACCCGATTTGCTTTCTGGTGGGAACTCGCGACAGTCGTCCCCGGGAGGCCAACCTGTCCTAGGCTAGGCTTGATGTCACTGCACCCTCCTCCAGCTGTGCGAGCTGGCAGACGGAAGGAGGGCCGCCCGGGGCGAACGGCGCCTGTCCAGGCAGGGTCCTCACCACACCCCGCCCGCTCTGCGGCCGCTGAAGCCAAGCCTGGTCTTGAACCAGGGGCCTCTAGGAGGAAGAAAAGGCGCAGCTGCGCCGGCCCCCTCAGGGAGCTTGCAGGTGTGCAACTTGGTCTTACTCAGGGGAGCACGCGCCCCTCTAGCCAGCCGCCCCCGGCACTGGGCTCCCAATGCGGGCCTCCCAGCAACCCCAGCTGGGTGGACCAGCTGGGGGGCGCGGAGGGCTAGTGGGGCACGCGGTCCTACGACCCCACCTCGCAGGTCCCGCAGTCAGCGCCCGGCCAGTCCCCTCGGCACCTGCTGCGCCCTCCTCACGCTTCTTCAATCTCCAAGCCTCCCAACCTTGGAAAACTACACTCTGCCTCTCCTTCTGGCGTCCCTGTCCTGGGGACGTGCGGAGGCGGGAGAGGAGGGCGATAGGAAGGGGGTGGGGACCTGAAAAGACGGTCCCAGCCTTCCTCGCCCGCCACCCCCACCCCAACTCGGCAGCCGTCACGTGGTGCCTGGAGTGGGAGGTGGGGAGAAGAGAAGAGTTTTTTGGGTGCTCCGGCTCGCCAGTAGTTCCTCCAGTCTCAGCCGCCAACTCCGGAGGCGCCGCGCTCTGCCCGGGAGCGCCCGCGGGAGGAGCAGCGACCCGCAGCCGGGAGTCCCGGCACGGGCGATGCTGGCGCCGCCGGCGGCACCTGCGGCTCCTCGTGGCGGCGGCGGTGGCCTCGGCGGCAGGAGCGCGGGCCCCAGCAGCCTCGGCAGCCACAGCCGTTGCGGCCCGGGCCGCCTCCGCCGCGGTCGCCGCCTCTGCTGCGCCTGCCCTCTCCCGGTTCCGCGGCTCCGGGAGGATGTGGGTCCTCGGCATCGCGGCAACTTTTTGCGGATTGTTCTTGCTTCAAGGTAGGGAGACGAAGAAACCACCCGCCCCGCTAGGCGAGCACACCCCATCTACCCGTCTGCCCCTTCGCCCCTCTGGCACCCACCTCCGGGCCCGTGCTGCGCAGGGGTTGCCCAGCGGGAGTTTGTCGGCGGTGACGGGTGCTGGTGCCCGGAGTCGCGACGTGGGAAAGTCTCCAGGAGGAGAGGCGGGAGCGATGGGTTTGTGGGACCCGAGCTGCAGATGCCCGGGCTGCGGGAGAAGAAGCTGAGCTGGGGAGGACGGAGGGTCCGAGATGTGCTGGGGCCTTGCCGACGGAGAGGGGGTGATAAAAAGCCCCTGACCCCACCAAGTTAACAGGCGTCTCCAGCAACCCGTGGGAGTGGCGCCGCCGACAGGTGACGGGAGCGCTGGGCAGCCGGTGGCCCGGGCGCGCCGGGGCTGGGTTGCAGCGCCCGGAGCGCCGCCGTTGTGGAGCTGGGAAGAAGCCCGGGGGTCCGGGAGCAGGGGGTGTTAGGTCTAGACAGGAGCTCATTGATCCAGGCAGAGCAGCCAGGCTGGAACGCTGCGAGATGTGAAAACGTTTCGGTCCTCTGAATTATGCAAACGGCTCTCGAGCGAGCGCTCCAGAGCGGGGACCCCCACCGGACCCTAGCCAAACGGTTGCCCTGAAAGCCAAGAAGAAAAGGTTGTGGTGTCGCGGCTCGGGCGCGCGCGCGCTCACACACACACGCCCCTTGCACACGCTGCGCCTCCCCGCCCAGCGCTGCTGCGGGGACTGTCCCGAAGAAAGGCCGGGGACTCGGGGCGCAGCAGCACTTGGCGTCTGGCACTTCCTCCTGGGTTCCTGGGTGGTCGCGTAGGGAGCCTCGGAGCCACAGCACAGGAACGCTGACGACAAAAACTAAAACTAAAAAGGCGTCTGCAAATGCAACCGCGAATGGTGCCAAAACAGTAATTAAGCAATTTGTAACCAATTAACAATTAGGCAAATCCTTAGCTGTACACTGGAGCTGAAGCATGTCTCTGGAGCTACTTCGCTCTCGAGTTGTGTACCCGGCCTCTCAACTTCCGTGGCGGAAGGGCCAGGTGTGGTGTCGGACGGCCTCTCTTGTTTCTGGAGCATTGGTCTGGGGGTCGCCGGCAGAATTCATTTGTCCTGCAGGACCCTCGGTGTCCGCGCCGCCGGCTGCGGGCTTCAGCCGCATACGCTTTTCTTGGAGACCCAGGGGTGCCGAGCCCAGCCCCAGAGGTCGGGATCCGTGGGCTGGCTGGGGCAGAGGAGGGCCGCGGTTTCTGGGGTGGTCTCTGTGAGGGCTGGATCTAAATCCGACTGCTTCTGTCCCCACAGGCTTTGCGCTGCAAATCCAGTGTTACCAATGTGAAGAATTCCAGCTGAACAACGACTGCTCCTCCCCTGAGTTTATAGTGAATTGCACGGTGAATGTTCAAGACATGTGTCAGAAAGAAGTGATGGAGCAAAGTGCGGGTAAGAACCAAGCAGCGCTCACCGGCCTCCAGCCTGGGGTAGGGGTAGGAGTGGGAGGTGGGGGGTCGGGGGGGCATTAAATTACAAGAAAGGGGACTGACTTTGATTTAATGCACACACACACTGGTTACCACAGATTTAGTTTTACAATGCTGGCAAAAGGAAGAGTTCCAAGTTAATCTCATTAGAGTTAATTACCAGGGCTTCTCCCCAAGGGACTCTGGAGGGGAAGTGCATTTAAATTAGTGGCTCTCCTCTTTTTATTTACTCCCCTCATCTCTCTCTGCTAAAAGCTGATCAGGAGGCTGGAAAATATATGGATAACCAGCTCGGCTTGGGCAACTAGACAGTAGCCTGTGAGCAGTGTCAGCCTGAAATATGAAGCTAGTTGAAGTTCCCAGAGGTCAGAGCTTGAAAAATGTGTTTTGTCATAGAGCCACGCCATATTTCTTAGAAGAACACTACAGGATCTTTATTTAATTTTAGAGCTACTGCATCAAATTCCAGGCACCAATTGCCAAGATGTTCAAAGGAATGTAGTTTCCAGCCCCACAAGCTTAGCTGCTAGCTGGCTGATGAAAGGTGCTGGGCTTTATGTGGAGAAGGAGGGCATCCTGTGAGAGCAAACCTCACTTACTTCAGCTGACCAGAGTTTTCTCCCTGATGTGGAACTCCCAGCCACTCCCAATAGCCTTACCAGAAATCAAAGTCCCCTACAAGTGCACCTGGAACTTTGGGGAAAGGAATGGAACTCTACTTTGAATTCCAAGGTCAAACCCATAATGCTAGACCTTGCCATTTTCAGGATATTAACAAGAGGGGAAATCGCATCATGTGGTGAATGATACGGAGTGAACCGAAGTTCTGTTCCTCTTTTGTTGGCTGAACTGCATAGCCCCCCAGAGCTTTTGGTTGAAGGGATTAAATCTGTCAAGTGATTTTCTTAACCTACTAGCAAATGAATGCAAAGGCTACAGTTTTAAAGGCAGCACCTTGGAAAAGTAGTTTCTTCTCAGAGAAGGGCCTGGAAATACCTTGCTACTAACCGCACAGATATTTGATGAGCAGATATCTAGCTCATCAATGTGTGGCGAGAGGGTATGTGTGCGCAGTTATAAAAGCTGTTCTTTTTAGTCATTAGGTGTGGATTCTTTCCACGGAAAGCGCTCTCTTGGGGAGTCTGATACATAATTGCTCTCAAGAATAATTTGTCCCAAGAAAAGCAGCATGCATTGTTCTGTCATTTGTCATGGGATTCGGGCTATTACAAAAGCAAAATAAAACTTAGTGACAATTCTGTAGCTAAGATTGATAACTATGATTTTGGTAAGTTGTTTCTTTTCTCCTTGTGTTTCATTCTTGAGGATTTTACCTGTAAAATCTGCCCTTTTTCCAGAGGTACTGCTGCAATTTTAGTTGGAATCACTCTGAACGCTTTACCGTTTTTTTTTTGTTTTTGGGTTTTGTTTTTTTGTTTTTTTTTGTTTTTGTTTTTTGCCAAATATTTGCAGCTTTCCTTCAAGTCGTAATTTAGAGCCAGAAAAAAAATAGGGATAAACTGTGGACACATTAGGAACTTCCTCTGGATCCTCTAGGCCAATGCTTACCTGGGTATCATGTTTTATGAGCTGGGATATGGTTGAGACAAGGAAAGAAAAAGATACAACCCAAACTATAGCCAGAAGAGATGTCCTTTTTCAGAGAGATGTTTCTTCCTCTCTAGAAGTATATGTAAGACAAATACCACACACTCCATTTTCATAGTGGTGTTCTTCATCTTGCTTTATTCTGTCCTCTAAACAACATTATAAAGAAAAGGCAGAGGGGGCATTATAATGCCTGTCTTACCTAGGGGAACCTTTAGCACAGAGAGTCTCCAGGGCTGAAATTGCTATTAGTTGGATCAAGTGGATACCTTCTCTCCAAACTAGGTTCCTCCAGCCATAGACCATAGGCCAAAGGGTACACAGAGAGTGAAATAATAAAGCAATACCAATTGAGAAGTCTAGAAAACAGACACAGTTTGGACTCCAAAGAAAAGTCTGTTATAAGGGGGAAGGACACACATTCTAAGCCTGAATTCAGTAAAGTTAGCCAAGTGCATGCTCCTGTGTCAAAAGAGCAATGTTTGGGGATCTGCTTCTTCCAAGGTACTTGGATTTTTGTCTCCATGTACTTGTTAGACCAATGAATAGACATGACACTTAACCCTCCTGATGCTGACAGGGATGGAGAGCCAAGCTAAGACTTGGATTGTTAAGTGACCACATGGAATGCAAGCATCACAGTCCTGGGAACATGGGCTACATGGGAACACAGCAGCTACTTGCCTGGGTCTTACACAGAGTGTCTCATGAAATCCAGTAGTCCTCTTTTGCGGTCCTGGTTTCCCTAACCCCTCACGCACCAGTGATTAATTCTGCAGTTTCAGAGTTCAGTTTCTTTCCACTCTGGAGAAAGAAGGTCATACCTGTTATGTAATAGTATTAGGTACTGAAGTTAGAATTATTATTATTTTCATTGGATCAATAACCTGTTCTGAAAATCTTAGTGCATGAAAACTGAAAAGGCCCATTGACTCAGAATTCAGGGTGCACGTCAGATTTTTCCTGGAAGTTTTGTTGAAATCCATATGTCTCCCGTCACTCTTGAAGCGGCCAGTTCAGTTAGTCTGTGATATACCCAGCCGTGGGTCTTTGATAAGCTCCCCAAGTGACTGTGGGGTCCCCTAAGTCTGGAAAAACCTATTTGTGTTGTAGAGGAGGGAAACGACAGCCAGAAAAGTTCCGCTTCTGGTCTATGTCCACCAGAAGACTTTCTCCAAGATGCACCTGTTTTCCTGAGCCAGCACCTTCTAGCAAAATATAACACCAGGTTTGCCTGAGAAGATAATGCAAGCAAAGTGCTAAATATTTAAATGTTTTTCATGTCCACCATATTCACCTTATGGGCTTGGTGAACTGGTTGACTGGACAGGCCATGAAATTGATATTAAATGAATATGAGAACCAACCAGTAGGATTTTTAAAGTTTGAGCACTATATGGATTGGCATTTTTTCACAGGTCGAGGAAAAGCACAGTTTTAACAGACGAAGAGATTTTAATGAACCAAGCAAGTTTGACATTAAGCAGTGATGAAAGGCATTCTCTTTCCAAAAAATACCAGCGATGCAATATGCCTAGGTCTTTAGTTAGTCCTTTCTGGATTAAGTCTGCAAACTCAGCTTTTATGAATTTGGAGGCAGGTACATTTAATTTTCAATTGGGAAGTACATTTAAAATTAACCTTTACCTATTCCCCAGAGTGGCATTCCTATTAGGTGCAGAGATTTTCCACTTCTTTTTGTCCCCTTGGTCATTTCTGGAGTTAAAAGGCACCAGGCTGTGGGGAAGGAGAGCCTTCATTCATTGTCCTTACTAATTGATATTTAAATGTTTGCATAACGAATGACTTGTTCTAGCAAGCTCTGCTCTTAATGAGTTAGCTTCTACTTACCAGCACCCTTGATAATGACATTTCTTTTGCTCTTGCTTATCACTGCGTTCCGAAAAATATTTCAAATATTGATTCTCATTTCAAAATAGAAGCTCCCCCCATATAAATTTTTAAACGAGGTTATAAAGAATGTGAATTTGCATTTGTTTGACAGTGCAATCTTGTAATTAGAGTTTTTCCTCTTGACTAGATACAGTGAAAGGGGCATAATTTAATTTTTATAGACTAGCCAATTTCTGCCCTAAGTAAAATATAGCTCTGTCAGTGAGCAAAATGTTACAGGTTCTCCTAAACCTTATTTAAAAGTTAAATGCAGTATATTGAGAGAAAGTTCATGGTCTGAATCAGTAACCTAATCGATCTCTTCACCCATCTTTTGCAACATGCATTAATCTATTTGTCTGTTTTGCAATACAAGAGTTACTGATTTATATGCCATGTTGCATCTACGTTATGGCTGTATAAGTAATGGCTGTTTTCCTTTTGGATTAGTTAGTCACTCATTAAGTTGGGCAGGGATGGTTGCATGCCTTGGATAGATTAATTTTATGCCTTATTTTCTTACGAGCTAAATAAGGGATAGCAAGTGAGGACCTGATGTCCCTAAAACAAGGAGTCACCCACTATAGTTTCCATTGTAGAAATGGAAAGCTAACTGTGGCCTGTTGTGTTCTTATATCTATGCACTCCTTATTTCACCACAATTAAAAAAAAAAAAAAATAGGCTCTAGTTTGTCCTTGGGGTAGACTTGTCAGGAAGAAGTCTGCTAATCAATATTATATCATAATTCCTTTGCACATGGATTCATTTATTTAAGGTGCACATATGCATGTTTGTGCACCCAGATGCACACACAATGGCATATCCATGAATGTGTGTATATTTTTACAGTTTTGCCTGTACTCATTTGCATACACCTATATAATTCTTATCAGAAAAATAAAAAGTCATCCTTCTCTGCAGACATTCAGATCCTAAATTACTTAATCTGTATTACACTGTATGCACGAAGACATTTTCTAACTTTTTTCCCAGAACGATTTTGTTAAGAGCATCAGTAGTATCTGTTAATCTTCCAGTGCCCTCTTGTCTGCCCCATATCATTTCTTCTCCTCCGTCGTCTTCACTGTCCTCTCCTGCATCCCACCTGTAGTGGTTACTTTGTCACCCTCAAATCCATTTTGAATCAATCACCTGTGCTATGGACTATGCTCTGAGAATGAAGTGAAAAACAGAAGTCAAAAACAAATTGCCCTATTTTAACTTTGCTAAGGAGAGTCCAACAGTTTGCAACACTTTAAGAAAGATTCAGATGCCAAGAAGGATCTCCTCAAACATTAACACAGCCATGCTGAAAAGGTTTCCATGTCCAACTTGATCAGGTTATGAATGACACAGGAAAAGATTCTGTGCAGTGCATGTCAATATCACTACCTCCTTTCTGGCAGGCCACTAAAAGAACCTTTTTCTTTGGGGCGAGACATTCTGCTGGTCACTTTGGT